AATAGTATGTTTTCTGAGGAAAGTTCTGTCTACTTTTGGAACTGCATTTCTGTTGCCAAGGAAACTCCTTGAAGCACAGCATTCTAGGAGCACACTGCTGCTTTTGTTTGCCAGTATCCTATTCATATCATCTAAGTAAGCACTTCACATACTTTAGCCTCCAGTTTCAAATGTTGAAGTTTTTATGTATTTATATTACTGCGTTAAAAATAGTTTATGCTTCTTTTTAAACTCAGTCTCTTGCAAGATTATTTTAACAGTTGCATTAAAGAGCAGTTTTTTGTGTTTTTTTTTCTTTTTCACAAGTTTGCAATGAATTAGTTTTAATTTGAATAATAGCTCCATAGGTTATAGCACTAGTCCTTAAGTGTTAATTATCTTTTCACTCTGAAATTAATGTAGTCATTTCCTACTGACTCCTCTACACCATTATTGAAGTGCTGAGGAAAACATGTCATTGAGTTCTGAGCCAGAACTGTTGTTGTGATTAATCCTGGTCACATGGCCAATCTCTGCCAAAAGGAGATCACTGAAAAAAGGTGACAAAGACAGTGATTTCCTGTCAGCAAAGAGTACGACAGGGCTGTCTAGAAGTGATGCAAATGAGGGAAACTTTCACCACGGTTTGTTTGATCCACTCCGGGCCCCAGCACACTGAGCCAGGGAGAAAGGCACAATGGAGCAGCAGCACACCCAGAGGAGGAAATTAACTGCACCTTCTGAGCAGGGATAGAGCTTCCAGCCGGGAAGCAAAAACTGCTGGGAGATATTTTCCCCTCAACTTTTTTTGAAATGTATCCTTAGTTTTTGATGTGCATTTTTGTGTTATTTAATACATTGGACTGCTTCCCTTTGATGAAAGAGTTCAGCAACTAACCTGTTCAAAAGCTGTGCCAACTAAATGTTTTCAAAATTTTTGCACTTCTACATAAGGACCTTTTCCCATCTATCATGACTACTGTTGCTGAAGACTTACTAGTACAAAACTTTCAGCTTAGACAGTTTGTGTTAAAACCACCATACATTGCTTGTAATCTGACAGAAAAAAAATATTTCTTTTATTTGATATTTTCAAATGTTTAGTTAATTCTATTCTGAGCATACTAACAATTTTAACAATCATATTTTATTTATTTAAATGGGGTTTTAATCTAACACAATTAAGTTTTGCAATTAATCCTCTGAGGAAAATTGAAAGAATTATCATTAACTTTTCTGCCTAGTATACTCATTTCTAATCTCCACAGTTCCAGTAAATACTGATTTGCTTCATTTTTGAACATTCAAGTTACAGAATTACTCAAGTTCCCACTAAAGGGCTAATTAGCAGAGTTTAAATTCTTTGGGTTTGATCCTCCAGTAACAGCATATGAATACAGTTGAAGTCAATGCAAGTTCTGTGTACTTAGAGCTTATGAGATCAGGCTCACATGCAGTAGATTAAAATGAAATAAACATGATACATTTGGCATTAAACTGAGCTATTACAGAAGTACAAAGAAGCAAGAGTCGAAAAACATGGAAATGTTCCTTTTAGTTTCTTCTTAATTAATAGTTAAAGCATTAGAGAACAAATAAACTCTCATCAATTCATTCCGTGACTGCCATTTTTTCAAACACCAGCCGATTTTCAAAATCATTAGCTAGTTTAGGACTCTAAAGCAGAAATCATTTAGGACTATGCTGTCTTTTTTAAAAATTTTTGCACTGAAATCTAGGAAATCTAAAGAAATTAATACATATGTATTCAGCATTACAAAAAATGTGGCTGTGCTCTTCCTATTGTATTTAGGGCAAAAGAAAACCTAGTTAAAGAGAGATAATAAGGATCCTAGTAAAAAAACTATGAAGTTCCCGGAATATTATAGAATAAAATTAAGCTGAGAGTTGACTTAAATGCATATGGACTCTGAAAATAGAGTACTGTGAAAATACTCTAACCGTGAAAATACATTTCATTTTCCCATATACAATTTTAGCATTTATATATGGTGTTATGTTCCTTTAATGTATGCTTTTCCCTTCTGAATTACCTGTTTTATCATTGCTCCTTCCCATTCATAGGCTCCTTAGGGGCAATGATTACTGTTGGTAATAGTGATACCACAGCAGGTTCCCTGGCAGAGACAGCTTGCTGAGCTGGCTCTGAGCAGCAATTACTTTTCAGCTCAGGAAGTGAGAAGAGAGATCCGTGGGTTTAGGAGAATCCACCAAAATGCAGAGAGTGCAATTAGCAGGTTCACATTTGAAGTTGTAATTGATAAAGCAAAACTAAGGCAAGATCTATATTTTCATAACACCCCACTCCTCATTGAGGAAATCTGATAATAATAACTGCCTGGATTTCTCTGTACTCTCTTTTCTCCCTACAGAGCAGAACGGCTGTGCTCTCTGGGAAGTGCAGGCAGTGCTCATGCCTCTGAGCTGTGAGCAATAGACCATCCACGACTCTGTAAAAAAGCCTCGAAATAAAACGGGTGTCACCACTGATTAGAAGAGAGGTTTACTAGGCTAGTTTTATAAAACGATTAATACTGGTTTTGAGGGCATGATTCATTGTTACATGAATCTCTGAAATTATAGACGATAAAGACCTAGTGATTTATCTGATCTTTCCTTTGCTAGAGCAGAATTGTTCCTTCAATTACATTTCTAATGTTGTCTTTTGTCTACTTTTAAATGTCTGAAATTATGGGGCTTTCAACACTTCTTCAGGAGGTGGTTCAATTTGGGGGGGGGGGGGCTAGGGGGGGTTGTTTTTTGGAAAGACTGATCATTCTAAATGCAATGCACTTAAGATTTTTATGTTACCTGAAAATACTCCTTAGTGATCTCAGACAAACTCAACATTTCTACTTAAAAGTCTTCCACTCAATCCTTAACAATTTGCTTGCTGTTTTTACTAGAAGGGTATATGCAGCGAATATTCACCACAGGAGGGCAAGGAGTCTATTCCTACCCCTCTTCAAGTGGTTTTGCAGTGACGAAGTACCAGATAGGTAGTTTTGAGATAGGGGCTCAAATCTGGTACAGAGCCAGGTGATCTTATGATGGAAATTGCAGGACAAATAAGCTTCCTGTGCTTTGGAATCAGTGCTGGTTCGTCTGTGCTGCTCAGCCTGCAGACTCAGCTACTCTAGCTCACACAAAGTTTCTGCTTTTACAAGTGTCATACATATCATAATACAGATTTTCATAATATTAAGAAACTATTACTTCCTATTTTGCATATACAATACTCGCCCTTTTTGCCACCATACTGTACTGCATACATTATTAAATTATTTCTCTCTATTACTCTTCTCATTATTATTATTATTGTTGCCTTACCATCTATAATTCTTCTTAATGGTTACATTTGGATATAAGAAAGAGAAGTAGCACCTAAAATATTTGGGCTGGCTGCTTAAGCCTTGTTCCTTTCGGTATTGATGGATGAATTTTTGCCTTAATATTTTTGGTTACTGATTTATTTTTTTTTTTAGTATGGGACTAAAACTAGTTGTTAAATTAGGCATGGTACAAGCTGGCCTTATATAGACTGGCACTACGAAAAAACCTTATTTTAGGTTCACAAGGCACTTTTTACCCATTTCTGACATTTTTTATTTCTGAGTCCAGCCAAGGCCAGGACTGTTAATGCCTGATTAGGCATGATGAAGCACTTAGAAAGTTAGGAAAAAGACATTAGAAAAAACAAGAAAAAATTTCCAAAGCAAGAAATGGAGGCTAGTGAATTAAGCTCACTTGCAGGCTAAAATAGTTGGGATCTGAACTATATTTACATTTATAAACATATTTTAACTCAGGTGACAACCCTTTCTCACTGGGTATTTTAAATAAAAGTGTCAAAATAAGAAAGAATAAAATTCAAGAAGACCATCAAGAAATTAAGATGCCAAAGCAAGAAAAAATATATTATATTTAAGAAATTATCAAATCATGCAATCATAGAAGAAACAAAACAACTTCTATTTGACCTTGAATGTACCATTTATTTGATAAGAAATAAAAAAAAGCTAGAGGGTAGTTGTTTCTTGTCATTATAGTGTTGCTGATTCTGTGGTTAGTTATTAATTTTATTTTTTATGATTCACAATCTGCTCTTTGAAATATGCCATATGCTCAAAGCAATTCAAGGATGACAACTGTCAGAATTACTCCAATAAAAATTGCCTAAATGAGGAAGATTTACTGCAGCCTGATATTTCTGTCGAAAGCCCCTCCTTTCTTTCCCCCACCACCCCTCAGACCCGCAGACTACAGCTTCTCAGACACACAGTGAAGCCTGAATCAATTTTCGGATCAAATCACACATTTTGAGGAAGTTCTTAAAAGTACTGTCTGTCTAAAAGAAGTGATAAAGCTTCTGGGTTAAGGTTGCTATAGCAAATAAGAGAAACCATGTGTGTGTTTTGTTATCTGTATGTTAGAATTAGACCCTATAAGTTCACCCTGCAAGTTCATAATCATGTTCTTCAAATCACAACCAAGTGTGAAGAGTTAACATGACAATGTCTACTTTATGTATAACTAATAAAAATTAAATTGGAAGAGTCCTGTATCCTGGCAGCAGCAAACCAAAATCAAGGAAAATGTCTTTCTTTCCAGATGAGGTCTGAAAGGTGGATAAAAATCCAGCTGAAAGCTCCAATCAAAACACATTTTGTTAAATGTTCCCATTTCATTTTTTTCCTTCATTTTGTTTCACTCTATTTATTAATGCAGTTTCATTTATTTCTATTCATCTTGAAGACAAATCTTTGTCCTTCTATAGAATTACACCAAATAGAATGTGATAAAGGGAACTTTCTTGCAATTATGATGTCGGTGCAGCCTGTCAGCGCACAGGGGATGGAAATGAGGTTGGAGACAGGGAAGGGAATTCTAATAGACACCATGATACATACAATGAACGCAGCGATATCCTGTGAGAGAAAGACTTGTCAAGCTAATCAGATCTTCTATAGCTAGGTAAAGGCAGTTATGGTAGCGCTAACCTTGTAAAGATGCTGCTGCTGCTCCTCTGACATCATCAGGTCATGGCTGTCCATCACAATGGATTCCATGTCAATCAGCCAATCCCAGAGCTCCTGGTATTCTGAATCAAAGTCCAAAAGGCTGTAGATAAGGAACAAAATGTATTATGCATAAATACTGTGTAGTTGTTAAAATCTTGTATTAGAATAATATATTCTTGAAAACTCATGATGTTCCAAGTTATATTTCTAAAGAGACATTCTGTATTTATACAGAGTGGATGAAAATGAAAACTGAAATCCAATTTAAGCCAGTGCTATGACCTAAATTCAGTGGCTGATGCCAAATCCTGACAACTGTTGGCATACTGCATTTGCTTCAAGAATTTTGAAATACAAATCCCCCATAGATGCTGTTTAATGGTTTTATATTGCAGATTTTATATTGAGCTAATTTTGCAACAATCATCTTGATATAATTCATATGAAAATATTATTTACATAAAAAAATTACTAAATTCATTCAGCCATCCCTCTGCTGTCTATCTGCCTATGTCTGTAAATATCCTACATTTATTTTCATGGATGAGTAGCTAGCATTTCAACTTAACACCTTAAGATAGGCTTGAGTGAATATGGTAAGCCAGTGAGAACTAAGGCCAGATACAGTATTAGACAGGTGTTCCCTACAGACATGTAAGAAACAAAGGTAAGGACAGGAAGTCAAAACAATGAATCCTTGAATAGCCAGCAATCATTAAAATTCAAAGGAGGATCACTACGGTTTTCAACAAAATAAATCATTAGAATAAGGAGCTTAAAAGGATTAATGTGATTCTCTATTGAAAGCCTAGTGAATAACTAAAGCATAGATTCTTCTAAAACACTGTGATACAAGACAGACGGTATATGGTGAAAAACTGCACATCCGTCAAAAAGATACCTCTTGAAAGGGGATCTTCAAACTTACAAAATTGGAAATAGCAAAAGCCTTGCCAGTAGTATCAAAAAACTCCTATATTGATTGAAGAATAGTGCATGTCCACTAAAGCTAATTTCTCCAATTATTAACAACTTTTTAGCAACTCCAATAAAAAAATTAGCAGTGTTTCAACAGAGAAACAATAACCATGTTTTTAATATTATTAGTACTATCACAGTTTCAGTTATTAACTAGAGTACCATATGCATGGTAATTTTGAAAGTCTGTAGATAAAGTTGTGACAAGTAGAACTGTCTTTCTGCAAGAAAGCAGGCAAGAGAGAAGAAAGCATTTTACTTCTTTGGTATTATTTTCAATGAATTGACAACAAAGAAAGTATTGTATAATGCACAAGTGCTGATTCCTGCTTGTGAAGTAACTCTCTAGTTTAATCCACTGTACTTAGTGTACTTTTACTCAATAATTTATGAGATGCACCAACTTAAAGCTGCCCGCTGCCCTGAGAAGGTACACAATGTTACTATAAAGAAAGAAGAGCAAGCATCGAAGGGCAAGTTACCATTGCTGAAATATAATAGTTTCATTTGGAGTTCAGGGCTTTTCTCCTGTTTCAGGAGGTATTTGACTCAGATATCATTTTGAAACTAACATAAAACTTAAGTCCATCTTGAATGGCATATTTGGCAGTGATACTGAATCTTTATCCCTTCCCCAGAAAGCAGTATAACCATTCTGTGTCTTCAGTACCTACTGCTCCTTTTCTTCCCTTCCATCTTATCCAAATTATTCAAAGTCATAAAACTGACAGGCAGTTATTAAAACATATGTTTTATAATGTAAGATGCTAGATTTCATATCATATAAATCAGTACAGATTCAGTTGGACTTGGATGGTTTGGACCAATGAAATACCTAAATTAAGACATGAAGATGACGTGAAACAAAGCCTACATCCATCATTCATGATCTCTTGCCCAGAATGGGATGAGATGCCTTTGGAAACTGCATGAGGAAATGCACTTGGATTTTACTATAATAGGCAGAAGATGTGCTGGATCCAACCACCTGCTTTGTGTCTAAAGAACCACATCTTAGTTACAGTCCAAATTAGTCCATCTCTTAGTGTAACAGAATGAACCAATTCTTTAAAGAAACAGAAAAGCACTTTTCTTTGACCTTTATAAAACCCAGATAAGCACTAGAAAACAGCTGAACATTTTGATTTCAAACTTTTGTTCTAAACAGGAACTCAACCCAAAACAAAGGGTGAGACAAACAGGATTCACTGGAAAAAAAAACAGGAAGGGATAAAAGATACAGTGGGGAATTTTTTTTCCCATAATTGCTTATTCTCTCCTTTTTTTCTTTTTTAAATGATGTAAAATAAAGTAATCTGGGAGCATTTTTAAGCAAACCGTCTATGGCAGTTATTTGCCTGAGTCTGAAGATAGTGTAGTCAGCCTACAAAGCATCATCAATATATTTTTTAATATGAATGCAATATTTTTAATGGTTTTAAAGTATCTCCAATATATATATTAAAAAAGCAGCTTTGTTGCTAAAATTAATGCCTTGCATCTAAAAGGATGAATTTAGTGATTGCTATTAAATTACTATTTGGAAGAGGATGCAAGTTACTAAGCTGTTAAAAAGATATTCAAAAAATCCAGAAATTGTAGGATCAGTGAGAGGTTAAGATTCAAATGTACCTGTCAGTATTTTTGTGATAGATTTTTATTCAGAATCTACTTTTTCTGAGCTTGGTAGATTTTTTTTTATTTTGCCACAGGCAGAACCAGGGAAAGCATAACTTCTGAAATACTGATGTGTGTTGCAGCTGCAACACATAGCAAAGATCTAATTTTGGTTGATTATCCAAATCCACCAATTGCTAAAAAAGAAATAAATTAGGTCATCTGTTTATAGAAACAATAAATCCTCCATTAAAAGTACCCAAAGATTGCCAACAAAAAAGCTATAATATTAGTTAAATGGCAGGTAAATACAACTTCCTTAATATAGGTTTTTTGGTTGATAAGACAAAACCATTAGCTATGTAATAACTAAAATGACACTAAGAAGTATATTTTGTCTTGGTAAACAGGGAATCAGATATGCAGAGTTGCATGTCTAATCCCTTGAACCCTAAACATATTTCTTAAAATGTGGACATCAATTTATTATTTTGAATGAAAATTCATGAGCACCTTTCTCATGAGAAAACCAGTTCGTCTGTGGCATTAATAAATAAAAAGGAATGTGAAGCTATTTCCATCAGCCTCTTTCTCTATGTTTAACATGCACTTGCAGTTTGTAGTATTTCTTTGATGGCATAACTCACATGGTATTTAGAAGTACTGTAAACACACTGCTATGCCTACCAAAAAAATTCAGCCAGACAAAAAGTTCCTTCAAGTTTCTGGGTCATAATTTTCTGGAACTCTTCTCACATGTTTTTATTAGGAAGATATAGAAGAAATTGGGGTTTTGACCTTAACAGTTTTAAAATTGCCTTATATTCTGAGCATACTTGAAACCCCCTATAATGCATTTCTCTCAAAGCCTCATCCATGAATGCCCAATACTAGCTGATGACAGACTCAGGATCTGGCCTTCATGTTGTACAATGGTGCTGTAAATAATTGTATCCATATCTCCCAATAGTACCTGTACGAACTCCTCCCCAGTTTTGAGGGGATGCAATATTTCCAGCCAGATTTACTGTAACATTTGGCACCTGCTCTTAACTACTCTTGGCTGCCTCTTGCTGCCTGGCTTGCTGGTGTTCTCCTGCAGTGGATATTCATTTTCTTCTCTTCCATTGTCACTTTAGCCATTTTCATGCAGATACACATAAACCCTCTGTATCGCCGCTTTAACAAGATCACTGTTTTGCAGGAAATCTCCTGGGTTTTATGTACCCACTAGCATCACCCTATTCTGCAAATATTACCCCACCTATCTGAGGTTAGCTATTTCCTACACAAAGTCACCTCTCCCAAATCTCATACACACACATACCCATGTCATATAAAAAATTCTTAATCTACAATTACTCTTGTTCTCCCAGTGGACACTCTTCTTTCTCCAAGGTCAATCTTCAACAACAGCTAATTTTCCCACTTATGCAAATGGCCCCTTCTCTGTAGAGATCACGGTCTCTAGCTACATCATTCTACCATGGAGTTTCTGTCCATGGTTTTTATGCAGTAGGGAAATTTTATATCAACTCTATTTTCAAATAGCTGAAAGGCATTTCCATTGTGCTTGATACAGCACCTCACACTTGTTCAACTGGAAGTTTTTCATCTGAATTCAATCTCCCCTAGTTTCTACAACGGCTGAATATGTGATACTGTAGTGGTCTGACTCCAGCCCTCTGGCCCCTGAAGTCACTGTTGAGTCTCTAAGGCTGGGATGGCCAGAAGGGCCCAGAAAGGTGGCCACAGCACAGAAAAGAAAGGAAACACTAGCAGATGACCATTCCCAGTCCTAAGCATGTAATTACAAGTGCAAACAAGTGCATTTAAGGACCTATTTACTTATCACATATGGTACGTGGAGTTACAAACTGGATTTCTTCACGAAGCGTAAAGCTCTATATCCCCTAACTCTCAGGAAAATCAAAAGTCTGTTGATGACATCCTCCGCAATATTCCAGCCTTAAGTCTTGTTCACATTCAATGGTGGCTGCAAAATTAGATGCTAGTTTTGGACATGTAGCCCTCAGAGTACATTTATATACATATACACACCAATTCTGAACAAATTATTTTTATGGTTGGCACTAGCTGCACCAGCATGTTTGAGAATCTGACAGATTTCTGCATATGTAATCAAGATCTCAGTAATCCTACATAATTAGCCCACATCAATTTTTCTAAAACAGTCATCTTTCTGTATAATAAGAGAGGATGTTTACAAGGCTCATTTACCTTAACAGTCAGTAATTTAATAAAACTGTGTTTCCAAGACCTGAACATTGAGTTAACAATCAGAAAATGAAGTTCTGGAGATAAGGAACTCATGAACACCTTGGTCAATGACTTTCCTTGCATAGGAAACTGCAAGCAAAAGTTCTACTGTATTTACTAGGAAACTTTTATCAGGATGAGGGTTTACCCAAACCATGAGCGCTAGTTGGCTCCTTTGAACTGCTTTTGGCCTACACTATTATGATCTCACAGGTATGTGTTTTATGTTCATTTTGGGGTGCTAGCAGTTGGGAGATACTGTTTTCAAAAGACCTTAAAGAAAAAGTCTTAAGCCAGAACTACAAGTTTTCTTGATTGTGAAAAAGGGAGGGCAGCAAGAAGTCATTTTAGCATATTCCAGTGATCTATTCGTCCAACATTCTTTGTTCAAAGTATTAAGAAAGAGTGCTTTTATATGTACACTTAAATATATAATATATGTGTGTTTACATTAATTAAAAAAAAACAGACTGAAATGGTAAAGTCAAGGAAAAACAGTTAAAATTAATGCTTTCTTGAAGTACAAAACTAGGATGTTTGAACTATAAGTGAATGGCTTCATATTCATATTTCCTCGTCACTAGAAGAAAAATTATTATAGAGGTCTTGCAGAGGTATGAGTACACTATAAAGATTCTTTCTTGGAAGATGCTACGAAATCAAATTGTATAAAGCCACTGGAGGAGAAAAGCCTAAAGAATAAAGGATACATTACATTTTTTTAAATCCAGAAAACAGATTACTATTAAATAATGTTAGGTAGTCCTATGAACAAACCATAATTTGGATAAATTATCCAGAATCCATTATTTTTGCATTCATATATGATAAAAGCAAATATAGAGAGAGAGAGTTTTTCCCTGCCTCTTGGCCTAGGAAAAAAAATCCTGGTTAACTAGAAGTAAGAAAAAGTATATCATGTAAAAAAAAACACAGATCAGTGAGAATAAAACAACAAAAAGAATAGTTCCCTACCCATTACTTCCCACTGTGTGAACTTTTGACATATCAGCAAACTCTTCCTTTCGCTTGCTACTACTGTTGTACTGCTCACTGTACAGTTTTAAGGACATCTGTTCAACAGCATCTCTTTGTGCTTCCAGATAGCATAGCTGAACCTCAGCCTAGAAAAAGAAAACAAAGAGAGGAAAAAACAAAACACAACATTTAAAAAAAAATTCAGAAAGAATACATTTAAAACAAATACTTTTGGACGGCAACAATTTTAACCAAACGATTCACATAATGATTCACATAATCATTTTCCTCCTTGCATGACAGTGAAAAAGGCTGAACCATTAAGTCAGAGAAAAAGTACACCATAATCCCAAATGCCAGAAATTAACTATTTAGGTTTCTATCAGAGAAACTGTTATATATTCCATGAGATGCATAGCCAATCAAATCCTGCTTAAAAATATCTGGACGAGAATAAAAAAGATATTAGGAACTAAGCACTACTAGAACAGGTAGATATATAAAATTACATTTCTTACAGGCTTCAAGACTGATATTGTTGACAATTTGCTTGTGCTTCCTAATTAATGAAAGCCATATTGCTACAGGTATTTTTCTTTCAAATAGTAAGTGTAAATAAACTCTGCTTTCTGGTGCACACTGATTACTCAGCAATTTTAATTGCAAGGAAAAAGCCAATAAGTGAGATGTACTGTTTTCCATCAGACTCTGTGCCTGGCCAGAAGAATGTTGAATAATATTTGACATTATAACTGATTGAATAGACACTTTATTTATTGCAGCTGTGGTAATCAGTATGCTTCTGAGGCTCAGAGAACCAGATGATACAAGGATAAAATCTGCTGTTTGCCACACTTGCCCCTAGGAATAGTACAAAAAACAGAGGGTAGAGTAAGTTCAAAAGCATTGTGACCAGTATGTTATTGTTTTCTTTTAATATACTTCATTGAAAGAAAAAAGCATTACAAATTCTGATAATGCTTCAAAAACGGCTACTGCAGTGTAACTACATACTTTTACTTCCATTAGGAGTGGAATGCCTGCTTAACTATTTGGTGCTATGGCAAGAAAATGCAACGAGAATGGAGGAAATTTTATGTAAGGACTCCTGTATTTTCTGCTGTGGGAAGCCAGGAATTGAAAAGTTTGTTTGTATGCTGACAGCTTGACAGTTGCCAATCAACAGCAGCCATAAAGAGAAAGTAGTGAAATGGCTAGAGAGAAGAAGGGTAATCTGCAAAATGTAGGAAAAGTGCAACCAAGTGAAGGGAAACAGGCACTGAAGAATGTCAGTAGGGAAAGTCTGGAGGAAAGCTGGAATGTCTTTATAAACTAGCAGTTTCCTATATTTGCTTATGCCTTGCCTTGGTGCAATTTTTGCTGAGTAATAATGGAGGCCATTTAGAAATTCAATTTCCTTTTAAAATTTCTCATTCAAACATTTATAGTTTTCTCTTTCAGGTGCTTCTTACAGTGAGATTAGTAATGTTTTTCAGTAAACCCCAAAATGTTTTCGAGAAATTAAAAATCCAAACAAACAAAACAAAAAACCAGAAAATACAGAAATTATTAGTAATTTTCCAAGGAGGTAAAAGATAAAAATTCCAATTAATCCATGCAGGTCTTTAAGCGTGTAAAGAAATGTAATTTATTTAAAATTACATATTTAAAAGGCTTTCATACATACTTTAAAATAATGGAAAATTAAACCACAAAAGGTTACCGATGAAGAAACATTACCTGAATAGAAGACTAGCTGGATGTGTCCAGTTAGAGTACAATAGAAAGGTCTGAGAAAGCTATAAGACTTTTCTGCTTTCTCAGAAACTGTAATTAAAACGGCTGTTTATATAACTCAGAAACGACCAAAGGCAGCAAATAAACATCATCACCTTCCTGTTTCCCTTACACCCCCAAGTCCATTTTCCTCTGAGTTGATAAACAGTCCATTTCTACAGTATACAGGGGGTCCTGAACAAATTTCTTTTTTTTTTTCTGGAAGGATTCTTCATCAGTAAGAATAGTGTTCCAGTTCAGTATTTTGTATTGTCCACATAAGGCTATTAATTTGTTCTTTTGATGTATTCTTCCCAATGAGTTATCCACTCATTGTTTTTATTTTAGTTATAGTTGACATGATACATTCAGTCTAAAGCACTGTTGTCAGTGACCAGTAAATTTCTAAAACAATTAGATCTAGAAACTAAAATCTGTGACTGTTTTAAGCCTAGAGGGGAAATCTTGTGGAAAACTTGAAGTAAAATATTTTCCCAATTTTCAGGGTGGGTTTGTAAATCAAGATAAGTAATTTTCGCTTTTTCTACAGGTTTTGGGTGGGGTTTAGGTTGGGGGTTTGGTGGTTTTTTGGCTGTTGTTGAAATGTACACAACCTCCCAACCCGGTACTCCAAAGAGAGGGAATTCACATGTAGCCTAAACTCTGGAATATCACACATATGAATTAAAATTCAGCTCTGAATTATAAGAACACATGTTATTTCTCAAATAGCACAACTATCCCAATAACTGAGATTTTTTTTCTTGCATTTTCTTATTTGCCTCCCTATAATTTCCTCTATATTTTAAAATAAGAAATTGGAAAAATAAAGGCAGCAGCTTTTCACAGATCTCTCATTCTCTGTTCACTTGCAAAAATATTTGTAAATAGGCAAGTCAATAATGTATACAGAAAACAGGAGAAGAAAAAGAAAGATGAAATAGAATACTGGGGGAAAGGAAACACAGGATGGAAAGAGTAAGTAAATACAGGGAGAGGAATGAATAATAATCCACTATTTCTTCCTCACAAATATAGGACCCTCCTGTACTAAGGATTATAGACTCCATCAACATCATACTCTACGAACCCTGAATACAACCCAGTTCTTGTACATCAGAAATATGATCCCTCCATAAATCAACTATTTTTGTTTTTAAACCCAATTTCTGTCTTCAGTGTTTGTGAACAATTACAGCAACTCAAACTCAGACAGCATACAGTTTCAGATGGATCTCTCTGATTTCTTTTCTGTATGTATTCATCCATCTCACTGTTGTACTTAAGCATTTTTTGGTCCCTGTTATACTGATATCAACTGCAAATCCAAAGAGGCTTTGAAGACCTTGAGTAGGTATTGATCAGTTTAAGTCTCAAAAAAGTACATTCTGCAGAAGCTGACCTAACAGGTACAAGGCATACTATAGAAAATAGTACACTGCACAGATACATAATAAATCTACTGCAGTTTATTTTCAATTTAAAATCTTTACTGGTAATGAAGGACTAGTTTTGCAGTATTCTGGGAGAATAAAGTAGAAACTTTATCAATTGCTAATCAAATATAGAAAAGTTACTTGTTTTATCCTACATTAAATGTGCATTTTCAGATTGCTCTACATATGCTTTCTTATTACTTAACTTTTAAGAACTTAACCTCTATCACAAACACACCTCTATGGACATGGATATCTAGCAAATCCTAAGAAAGTCTACTGGGATAGGCGTCATCCCAAATATAGGTAATGGGAATTGGGTGAGAGGCAATCATTAATTTGCTCTTAATGCCCCATCCCAGAAGTGGAATTCAGTTCCTTCTTTTTTTCTTTTTTTTCCAGAGGATGTACCACATCAGAATATGTGAAAAATTGAACATGGGAAAAAAAAAAAGCCAAGAAATTATACTCAGCAATTGTTTTTCACTTCATGGTCCTCTTCTAAGTGACCATTTTTGCAATAAAAAGGCAATAAAGGTAGTGGTGATGATCCTCTTACACACTTGTATAGATTCTCTACCTACCAGGATGGAGTGAGTTTAAAATATTCTATTGTAAATTAAACTGAGATATTCCCAATAATCAAATGACAAAATGTTCTCATTTTCCTGAACTTGCAGGGTCCAATCTCTGAACAAGACTATGAAAAACCAGTAGTCTCTGCAGGAAAACTGAAAAAAATCTAGACTAGTGCCAAATATTCAGTTCTAGTAATTGATTAAAAATGGTAAATAATTTCAAAGCTATTGTTAGAAAGCCCATTTTCTAAAAAACAAGACCTTATAAATAAACTGAGGGAGCCTGGGGTGCAAAATCTGTTCCTTAAGACTGGCTTTGCATGACAACATAGAATGTCCTTTACTATACAGATCACTACATAACACAAAGGGGTAATCAGTGACAATACAAATCAATGAAAATACATTGCATTTCTTGTTAGACCTACATGTTGGAATGACCTTATTCTGAAGTGGAGAAAGACAAGACAAGGGATAATGGCTGTTACTGTGGGAGGAAGGAGATTGAAAGGTTATATTGTATACAGAGTGTGAAATGAAAGACTTAAAATTTACACCAATGTAAACTGGAGATAGGAACTCAGAGCTAGTGTTGCTCTGCTGCAATTTTTTTTTTATATTGGAATGTACTAAAATAAATATCACTGAATTGGTTTTGAAAGGGAAGTATTTTCAGACACTGTTTCCCAGTGAGCAAAAGTCTTTTGTTACGAACTGTTTCTGTAAGCAAACTATCCAGTGTTTCAAATATAGAAATTATAATACATTCAGTTGAATTTGAATTATAAAAGTATCCTATCTTGCACTATCCTTTCTCTAAAGTTCTGTAAAAAAGCTATACTGCTGCCACACCACACTGTGAGAATTAGTGAGAAATACATAGTTCAGTTCCTCTGCCATTATTTGAACTTCCACTGTTTATGTATTATGTTTATTAAATTAAAGCACAAATTCCAGTTTCTGCCAAACAAGAGGTGGTGAGATGCTCCTATGCAGCATGTAGATTTAGAATAGTAGTTTTATGTATATTTTATAGAAGTGCATACTTAGCTGTCTCATTCTAAAAGGATGCACTTGTCACGGTATATCTTTGCAGTTGGTCAGTTTCTTGAGAAATAAAACTGAGAGCAATTCCTTGCCAGAATTAAGTTGATCAGAGTAGCATTTATGTGGTTAAATACTTAAGCCTTTTTTGTCGCTTTCTGTCACAATATTCTGGCTACTTCTCCACATTGTAAAGTTCTGGAGAAGGCTTTATTACAGAATATGAAAAAGACCCTGGCTCTGTCAGAGTATAGCTACTGAATAAAATTATGGTGAGAAGTATATGCCTCAAAGTATCTTCCGTGGAGATGT